CTGGTGTCTGGCTGACATTGCGGGTAGTGTAACACGCTGCGGGTGGAGCGAGGAGGTGGAGAGGATCGTTTAAAAGCCCTTTAAATAATGCACGGGTATTTAATGTGATCATTTCATGCAAATAGTAAGCAGTACTTGTGTTACTGCCTCAGTAGCACGGTTCTGTTCCCTTGATCAATATGGATTGTGGCTGAGGCACATTTTCCAGTGTGGGGTGTCTTTTTTTTATAAGATCGCTACTATTGCGCTCAGAACCTTATTTCCTTTTTTTTTTTTTGAGGGGGGAGCCCTTTACAGCTGAAGTGGACTTTGAAACTAGTTGCTTACATTGCTGATATGAGTTTGTCATACTGCTTTCACTTCCTGACTTCCCTGATGATCTGAGAGAACTTAAATATATCCTAGTAGCTGTGAGAATTCAAGAAGCAGGACAGAGAGATTATAGAGAAAGAGAAGAGTAGCTAGTGATGAGGCAAGGTAATGCTGGTAAAAGCAACTATTTTATATAAAAGGGGGTTCTGGTGTTGTTCCAAAGCGAGGACCTCTTGTCCCACCTTGGCAAAGCAGACAGCTGGCTGACCTAGACACCGCTGGCTGTAGTGACTGAAACGCTAGCCTCTCACCATTTGTAAAGCACTCTGAGCATCCTGAGGAAACAGGCATGTATCTATTAAGCAGTTTGTCCAAGACAAAAGAGGGAGTCCCTGGCTCTCTACTAGTTACTGGTCTTCTGCCGTATCAAGTGAAATTCAAGAGGGAGCTACCTTGAAGATACCTGTGAAAACACTTGTGATACATGAAGAAGCAAGTAATGGCTACAAGTGTGTGTTATCTTGAAATAACAATTTTTCTCATGTCTGATGTTATTGGTTGAACAGTGATGGGTTGGGAATATGGAATAGACAGGAGTACAGTTCCCCAAAATGCTGAAATCCAATCTTGAAATGTGATACCTAAATGCTTTCAGTCCTTGTCAGAACTGAGTTTAAAGGCTGTGGCGTAATTCAAACTTCTTACTGTTTTACCTCCTGTGCCTTACTGTCCCATAGCTTAGTTCTTGACTAGCTTGCTTTCTTTCAGAGGCTGACCAAGCAGGAATTCTGGCAGCTGGTGCACCAGAGCTATGGCTCTGAGCTGGGCCTGAACAGTGAGGAGATGGAGAGCTTCCACTCATCATCTGAGGACAACGGGCAGCCTCGGTAAGGAGAGGCTATACAGCTTATTGAAATACTCGGGGAGAATCAGTGTCCTCTTTCTTAGAAATTCTTTTTCCAAAGTGCTGCTGTACCCTTACCAGAAAGGTTAAGCCTATAGTAAAAGGTTAAACCTATGGTAAAAGGCTGCAAAGAACAGAACTGCATAAACTGAGCATGCATGAAAACTTAATTGTGTTCATTGTCTAAAATAGTAGGAGCACAGCTGAGGCCCCTTAGAGGAGGGAGATAGGAAGACCTTGTTCTCCCTGGATCTGCTTGGGGATATCAGCAAGACAGCTTTTTCAGCAATGCTTTCTCGTGATGGTGTCTAGTTAGGATCTGTATGCCTTTCAACAATATGGAGGGGCTGAATGGAATGGAGCTATATGATGGTCAGATACTTTTTCCTCTCCTCTATGGAGACTGAAACACTTGTTTTGCTTTGTTCTCCTGACGTCTTAGCTTATTTTTGTATTGTCCTCAGCTTGAATTAGGAAGCTGGAATCTAACTGTATGTGGATTTTTTTTTTTTTAAACAGTTGCCTTGATTTTTTTGACCAAATGTGAACTAACTTATGAACTGTCAGCGTTAATCTAATAACGGGGCTCTAATATTTGTATCTGTATGTAAATAAGTGTGGCTCTACAAAACTGAACAATATAATTTATGTCTCTCTTCAATCCTGTGTTATCTGAGTATGTTTGTTAGGAAAAAAAAAAAAAAATCTTAAGTTCACTGCAAGCTTCAAAAGATGTCCTATTAAACACTTCCTGGGGTGTTTTTTCCTGTAAAAAATGTGCTACTTTGCAATTCTGGAATAAGGGATGCAGGAAAAAAAAATCTTGTCTCAAACTTCCTTAAAACATTTTCTTTCCAAACTTGTTCTAAGCTATCTCTGTTTCCTTTTTTCCCAGAGCACTCACTTTCTGTCTGATTCACCCATACTTGGTTTTACTAACCTTATAGTTGGAAGCTGAATCTTCTGAGAAGTGGTTAGGGTGAGGAAAATGGCTTGAGAGATCGAGCTGGATGTGGGAAGAATGAGTTGGTAGTTTTTAATACTAGGTGAACAGCCATGGTTTGAATGCAAAAATCACACATGAGAAGCTTTCTTGGATTTTTCAGCACTTACTATCTCCAAAGATACCTTCCTTTTTGCTTTGGACAGATCCAGCATTTGTGATGACTCTGGAGAAAGGGATGAAAACCTACCTAAAATGATTGGTTTAGTTCGGGAACCCACGCTTCAAATGGAAGGAGAGGCACTCAATAGCCACGCGTTGTCAGGAGTAAGTGCTGACACAGCCTTTCTTACTATCTGTAACCGATAAGCATATATGCTTAACTTGTATATCTGTAAGCATATATCTGTAATGCATGGGGATTGTAATTTCTAAAGAAGCAGTCTAGAAGGCTTTCACATCAGAAGTTTAATATAAATACCTTCAGGTTTCAAGAATATCTCTCTATTTTGGAAATGAACGAACTTCTGTTTAAGAGAATATTGTTGGTGTGAGTTTCAGCAATGTCCTGTCACTGACTCACTGCATAACCTGGCTACAGTGCTGTGGCTTATGCCTTGGTAAAAAATGTAAAAACAAAATTAACCATGTTTTGTTCATCTTCCTAGGGACCATGTGCATTTTTATGCAAGTGCCTTTATGAAAGTAATGCCTTTGTTCACTTCCAATGCTTTCTTGCTTGTGCTATTTGTTGTTAAAAAGTATCTCCTCTTATACTTCTCTCTTTCCTATACATGAGGTTTATTAGAGGGTAGTTATGCTGTGTTATCCTTGCCTTCAAAGGTCAGTTGGTCTGCTGCTGTGAATATATGAAACCTTTTTTATTTAGATTTGTGGAAATGTTTCAGAAGGAAGGAGATAAAAAAACCACACTTGATATATAATAAAGATGGGTTTCCCCTTAATGCCTTGGGTTAATACAACTGAACAAGCATGAGTGCTTCACTCATGATGTTGTATGAATTTGGGAATGTGCTTGGCTGGGAGGGCAAGCGCATTAGTAGTGGTATCTGAGGTGTGCACAGCGCTTAACACAGTTGCTGGGACTTCTGTGTGTAGCTGTAGTCCTGAAAGGTTACAGACATTTTCTCTTGATTAATAGATACTCCAAGGGAAAGATCTTGGAAAAGCAAATAAAGCACTGAAGTGTTTCTTAGAAACTTTGCTAGGGCTGGGTACCTAATTGCCGTTTCTGCTTTGGAAAATTGGTGGAAGGAAGAAAGGAGATGCTTGTAATAGTTTTTACTACCATATAAATCTTCTGGCTTTTGTCACTTGCTAAAACTGATCTGGAGGTTAAGCATGCTTTAAATAGTTTTGCCAAAATCCAAGTTAATGGCTGGAGAGTCATACCCAGCAAATAATACTGGTATTTTTGTCAGATGTTAAAAGCTTAGTTAATTGGATGATGGGTAATGTCATGGAAATCCTAGCAGTATAAAGCAAGATTTCTGGAGAGCTGTAAGGGAGGCCTGTGGATGCTGCTGGAATTTGGGCTCTTTAGGATATCTAAAAATCTGCCCAGGTAGCCTTGGTTTGGACTTGTCTTATTTGCACAAGAACAAGCCATTTGAAAATAATAGCTCTGCCTGGAAAAGAAGTCTTGTTTACCTACTGGGTGCCACACCCAGAGATGTCTCTTGCCGGTGCTAAATCTAATTGGGCATGTCCGTGAGCAGTAATGCCTAGGGATTTGGTTTGTACGCAAGGAAAAATGCTAGGATAAACTGTTTTTTAAAAGTTCTTTAACTATAGTGTAAAAGTGCAGTTTTGATAAATGTGTAACTAAATTGTTTAGCTTACTGTTTCAGTGTAACTAAAATACATAATGATTGTGTTCAGCTATATGTGGCACTTGAAACTTCTCAAGAATGTGGACACACTCTTCACAACCCTAGGATTACAGCATATGTTGTAGAAGCACAGGGGTAATAGGAGGAGGCAGTAGTGCTTAGAATGTATTTATCAAAACCCTTGGCAGGATGACTCACAACACATTTAATCACCTGCCAAAGACTGGAGAGAAACAGACTTAACCCCTTCTTTCCTGCTCTGATAGGCAAAGTAAGTCCCAAAGCACTCTTCAGAGGGAGACCTGAAATGATGGAGGTGTTGGCTATAGTGCTTGGCCTGTCTTGGAAAAAACATTTGTCAATAGCTGTCCATAGTTGGTTAAAGAAAGTCCATGTGTAACACCAGTCATGGCACGTGTGTTCACAATGTGGGAACCACCTTATTGCCTGTCTGAATCAACCATCATCTTCCCTCCAGCCCTTGTAGGGAGACCTTAGAGCCTTCCAGTCCTGGAGCCTGCTGTTCACAGGTTAAAAAACTGAAAAGCCTTGGCACAGAGCTTAGCAGTACTGGATTAGCTCAAGAGATAAATGTATATAAGGAAGAAATTACACATCTTTCAATTCCAGCTGACAGATCTTAAAATCATTATTCTTTGAGGGGGGCAGGGGAAATAAAAAAACCCATAGAAACAAGAAAACTGTGTTTGAGTTGATCAGTCATTCCAAAAGCCTCAGCATGAATTTCAAAAGGCTGACATCTCGAACGGCTTTTTTGTAGGAGCTCTTGCTCTAGTCTTCTGACTTAAGCCTGACTTCCCTCCTCTGCCTATGGCATCGTGGGCTGCTCTTATGCTGCTGGTGGCAGCTCCACCTGTTTACCAGATCCCTAATCTTCATCAAAATGCTATGAGAGTTCCTTGCATTTGTGCTGGATCTGTCAAGTTTTAGACTGCTTAACCACAACTAGCTCCTTTCTGTCTTCCATCTGTATTGGTAGAATATTTTTGATAGTGAAATGTTGGTTCTGTCCTAGTTCCTGTTGTGTGACTGAGTATAACTTCAGGCATAACTTCCTCCTTTCAATAGGAGCATTTGTTAATTGATCTGCTTCTCTGATACAGCCTTCCTTTTTTTGACTTTGAGGGGGTATTTTTGCCTGCTTACACTGCAGTCAAATTCATGCCTGTCTGTATTCCAGCTACCCACCTTCTACTAATGGCCCTCAGTTGCACAAAAAAGTAGATGGTCTTTATTTTGAAAAAAACCCAAGTAGTACAGGAAGTACATGATGACTATTCAAGTAGCAGATGCTCTTGCTTTTTTGAGTCAGTACTGAATAATCTTTAGGGATGATAGTATTGAAGATGAATCGGAACTACTCAGTTGAGGAGGCCTGATCTTATTTATTACAGTCCATGTACTACTGCATATGGGGGGGCTGTCCTACTGTTGATTCCAGCTGTTCCACTGGAGGCAATGAGAGCTTTGAGAAGAGGTTTAGAATGAAAACTGTGATTCCTAGCTAGTAGCCAAGCTTTTTGGGTGGCATTTTGAGATGTACAAACCTTGGCCATACAGTTTCACTGGCAATTACTTCTTGAAGTGTGCAATGGCATGTAAGCTTAGCTGCCAGTTATTATAGTTTAGGGTTAAGAGCTTCATTATTGATTCAGTGACTGATGTTTGGGGGGATGTCCTGCTTATGTATTGGAGATGGCAAATTATACTCCATGGCTTTGTTCCTGAGAAGTAACATTTTATACGGAGGATGGCTCTAGACATCTTTGCTTTGTCAAAAAAAGTTTTGAGCCTTACAAAATAAGAACACCTTTCAAATGTATAATTGGGATGATCTAGTCTTGCTGAAAAAGGGAGGCCCTGCCTGTTTCATTGTGCTTCCCCTCAAGATTGTTGGACCCCTTGCTAAACTGGTAGGAAAAAACTAACCTTATCAATAAAAAGTAAATAATCTGTGTTAAGTTAATGAATTTATAAATGCTAGCATTGTTGCAGGGAAGGGGACCTAACTGTGCAGGTTGGGTGCAAGGGGCCTGGATGGGGAGTAAACAGTCCCTTTTAAGGCAGCTTTAGGTATAACAGTACAGATGAGTAAGTCTGTCTCTTGTTACCAGGGTGAAGTGAAAGTCTGAAATAAAGAAAGGGAGGTTGGTTGGGGTAGGGGAACAAGGGAGAAATTAGTGTTTGACTGTGTGGTAAGTGAGCAGATAGAACTTGTGGCTTCCTTTGTTCTTTGAAAGTAACTTTCTCTTTTTTTAAATGGTCTGTGATTACTGATGCATTTTTTTCTCTTGGTTGTTTCAGGTGGTGGAGTCCCCAAGTGAGAAGCAAATAAAGAGGAGCCCTCTTCCATCTTCAGAAAGAAAACCTGTTAAGCTAGTCAGGAGCAGGTCTTTAGAAAAGTCCTTGGACCTGAATGAGAATGAAAATCTTCCAGAGAAGAGCAGTGCCTCAGATAGTGAAGAAGGTAAATCTCTTAACAATTGGGATCTATAAGAAACCTGACTCTGGCGTTCCATGTCACTTGTGGAGCAAGTTTGAGAACTTTCTGATCTTACAAAACTTGTTTGCTCATTTGTTTCACAGAATTGCAGCAAAAATGTCTTTGTATCTTACTTAGTTTCTGGGGAGGGAAAAAAAAAACCTGTTGGGAGTGTTTAGAACGAAAACAAATTGTGGTTTTGCGTTTTTCCCCTTTGGTGGGTGAAGAGTTGGTAACAGCTTAAACTGAAAAAAGTTTCTTGACAATGTGGTGGTGTGTGTTCACTTTCTGTGCTCTCACAGGCAATCCAAGTATTTTTCTTTCCTTTGTTTTCACTTCTTGGGAACTGAGGGGAAACATTTCAGACTGTTCTCCAGTTTCTGAGAGATTCCCCCACCCTCCCCACCCCACCTTCTTTACGCTTCTACTCTCTTAATGCATATGGGCATATGTTATTGATGGAGTAAACTGAGGAACTCACTGAAAAATCTAGGCAAGACAACTTCCCAGCTTTCAGGAGTATATTGTGCATATTCTGAATCTAGTCTGAAGATGAAAAACCTTAACATGTATCTTCGAGCAGCTTATATTTTGTGTGCCAACAGAGTTAGTATCTTCATGGATCCTAATACATGATCCTCGTAACTCATACCTCATTACCCAGTACAAGATGAGAAGAAACTTGGATACCACAGTAGTGTAAAGATTGTAATTTGGCTGTTACGTGCCTCCTTTCCTCTCCTCACCATAGGAGAGAAAAGCATAGCTGTATGTGTCAGTGGTTTTGGTATGAGCATTTTTGCTATGTCCTGGGAAGAGAGTAAGACCAAAGCATGGCTTCTACCCAGGCTGGATGACAGTGAGACTTGTGCTGAGGTCTGTGGGTGCTTGTTCTCTGGTCCCACTGTAGCCCCTGACAAGTTCTTGATCTCTAAGGTGAGCTTTTCGCTTACTGTGGGGAACTTTTCTGTGCCAAAGGGCCATAGTTGTTCAAACAGCTCACTGAAGTTGTGGTGGATGTTCTGTTAAATATCCCAATCTTGGACTCTTAAGTGCCTTTAAAACAAGGCATGCACAACCTGGATTGGTTCCAAAGTTGTATGGTGGTGTGCAAATGAAGGACAGAAAAGCTCAACAGTAGCAGTGTGCTCAGTAGCAGCTGAGTATTTCTTTCATACGCAAAGAGGTAACTTACTTTCATTACCTGTTGGCGGGGAATAGAACAGCTCAGTTAATTGAGGCCAGTTCTTAATTTGGCTGAGAAATTTTGCATCTCATCCTTTCAGAGTTGGCAACTGCAGTTGCTTGCAGGTGTCATTATGTTGGGATCATTGAGGTGTCCAGGAAAGCTTTCGAAGTCATGGATTGAATTGGCTGCCTGCAGGTTGTAATTGTTGCCTGAGGATATACTTTATATTCAACTGACTTTCCTTTTGCTCACCCACACTGCTTCTGTGTTTGCTTGAGTTCAGGTTCAGCTCAATGCATGTCAGGTTGTATCATTTTTGTGAATGTACCTACTTGAACAGGCTGCTGTTTGTGCCATACTTCTACGCACTTAACAAGCTTCACAAATTAATTGTTTACTCCATCACAGGTGTATCTATTAGAGCAGCGGAAAGTTTTGGTCTTTGGATGTTTTAGATATCTTGCAGTTTTCTTATCCTATTAGTGCCACATCTCTCTTTTTGTCTCTAGATTTTATTTTTTTATAGCAAAGGTCTCCAGCAAAAAGGATTGAAAATAGTCCTGTTGTCTTTCATGCTGCTGTTTGTCTAAATGATAGCGGTAAATACTCCCTGTCATCGCTGCATTAGTGGTGTTGAGTAAACAGAGCATATTAAACTGGAGATGTCTCTTTAAAAGAGAGCTGACTTCATGCTGCTTGTCTTATTTCTTCCCCCCTCTGCCCCAAGACTACTTTTTTTTTTTATTCAGAGCAGGATTTTCTAGTCCCACAACATTAATCTTTTCTCTGATTCCCTTCTTCATGTTTAGAATTTTTTTCTGTTTCTCTGTCTGTTTTCTATTGCAGTTGCCCCATACTCTTACAAGGTGAAATCCTTCATGCAAACAAAACTAGCTTTCCCACATGGCAAAGGTTTACCCATGCGATTAGTCTCTCTTGTGTCCTCTGGCTCATACTCAGGCTGCCCATGGAGGTGTCCTGGCAAATAAGGTGAGGGGCAAGCTCAAGACCATTGTTCTCCAACTCCGGGTCCACCTGATGCCCAAAGCTGGAATGCCAGAGCTGTGTGGCAATAATAGTTCCCTTGCCCTCAGCAATTCTCACATTGCTTACTGGGGGATAGGGGGGGTGTGTCTCACTGTGCACCACTGGCCTATTGACCTGCATCTTGGTGCTTTTGTTCGCTTTCATAAATTGGAGTATAAATCCTGAGCCATGACAAACTTTTGGCTAAGCTAAAAATTAATATCTGCGGTCTTGATTCCAAATTTCAGAAAACAAATCTTAGTTCAAGCACAGAATATCTATTTCCAAAATAGAGCCAGGAGGTTCTCAATTTCCTCAAATGACCTTTCTGCATGTAGGTTTTCTGTATGCAGTGACAATGTTCAGCAGTACGAAATACTTCAAAGAAAGAAAGGGGAAGCAGGAAGAGAGTCTTTTCTGTTAGAAAGCTTTACTGTATATAGGAACATCATAAATTTCTCATCTCTTTGCATAACTTGACAGACTTACTGTATTGTTTCTACTTGTACTAATAACCACCTTAAATGTGTGGTCTGCAGGAGAGCATAACTGCTTGCACTGTAGTGCTGTGAGATGGGTACAGTGGTGGCTTGACTTTCTTGCAGACAAGGATATATGGGGCAGAAAATGTTTGAAATACAAGGTGGCTGGAATTAATTCAGCCCTGGTTGGTTTGGTGTGTGTGTGTCCCCCACAAGATACGAAATTTCAGATATACAATGTATGTAAGGAAGAGTAGCCCTGTTATTTTGTTGGCATTTTAATCAAAATACTGAAAGCATGTATTTTGTTGAATATATAACTACCAGTTATTTGTTGCTTTGGTTTGGAGGATATATGTTTGAGTTATCTAAAGGCAAAAGGCATAATTTTTTTTTTTATCTTGTGAACTGGAAAAAGCTAGCACTGTCACAGTACTTACTCAGTACCTCCCAAGCTAATTTTGTACTTAGTCTTATAAAGTATAGGAGAGCTCTTTGATAATGGTTGAATATTGCTGATGTGGTCTTTAAATAGATGGTGTCTGGAACATGTTCACTCTAGGAATTGGTTTTATTGACTTGATTTCAGGTGTTTCTGGTTAAAGGCTCCTACCAGCATATTCTTCATGCAGTGTGCAATATTTCCCCATCTCCAGTGGCATAGAAATCCTCAACAGTGCCAAGATCTGCATATATACATTTTTTTTTTTCCTGATGCTCCCCCAACTCCATGGAGTGAAAAAATCACCTGTCTTATTAATTTGTTTGATACACTCTGCTCTTATTGGTTCAGCTTTCTTAATTTGCTTGTGGTATGTTCAGCTTTGCGCTGTTGGTTGTTAACGGGAATTTTAAGAACAATTTTTTTCCTGCTCCCTTTCCCTCCCTCCAGTTTTCTGTCTCTTTCTTTTCTTGCACTGTAGATGTTTTCAAACCTCTGCAACCACTGCTGCATAGTGGTATTGTATTCAAAAATTAATTCACAGCTTGCCTTGCAGTGATGAAAATGACCTGATGAAGTGCAAGGCAATAGTGGGGGAGGGAACAGACTTCCTGTCTTCATACTGAACCAGGACGCTCTGGTAGTATGTTTGCTTCTGGATTTTTGGGTCCCTAGGGATCCTAACCTAAAGTCAGAATAATCTCATGTTCTCCTGTCAGACAGTAGCTCCAATTCATCTATAAATGTGTTCAGGGTAAGAGAGTTAGTGGTTGATAATTGCATACTACTGAGGGGTTAGAAGAGCATTAGAAGTTAAGGAGTTAGATTGATATCTAGATATCCACACAAAACATTTTGTTCAGAAACAGTATTTCTAAGCCAGTCCTAGGTAAAATGCTTGATGTTGCTCTAGTATTGAGATAAATTAAAGGCAGGTAGGTTTACCTGTGTGAGTTAAAACAAAAAAAAGAAAACAGTAGACAAACATGCATATTCATTTGGAGCAGAGATGAGTGGTTAAAGCTTTCTATTCTGTTCAAATTGCAAGCGTGTATACTGTACACTTACTCTTTGCTATGCTGCTGTTTCTGCTCACTACTTCATCTAGGATTTCTGCAGATAAACTCTGAGAAGCGCAGATGGAAGTGACTTGAAGCTTGTGAAGTTCTTGGTGTATGCAGTGACTTGCTTCCACAGACGTGGAACTCACAGCAGCACTCATACATGCACCTTCCAGACCTATCATCTGAAAGATTTCCAGGCTTTCTGGAAAACAGCTGTTTGAATCCTGCCATCTAGAGTGGCTCATGGGCCTGATATATCAATACAGTTTCAGCTTGGGTTTTCTGAAAATACTGCTTTATGTGATAACACCAGTTTTTAAAAATTTTGTTTGTTCCAAGAGCTGAGAGGGATTGCAAGTAAAAACATATTTCTCAATAGATACTCTCATGCACTTGGCACTTCATTGACTATTCCTTATTAGAGACATGACTAGATAGAAATAGCATAGGTAAATCAACTAACAGGAAATTTCTTGTAGACCCGTGGATGCTCTTGCTTAAGACTCAGTACAAGGAGGACAGATTTCATGCTTGAAGAGTAAAATATCTCGGTAGCAAGGTCTGCACCTTAAGGTAATAATGCGTGGGCTTTGTGCATATCAAAAGTTGGTGTTGTTTACCAAATTACCTCCCATCAGCAGAAACATAGTAGCTGTCCTCAGGTGTTTCAGGTGAACATAAAGTTGTGTCGTTTAGCTAAGCCTCAGTGGAGCAAAGATAACCTGTCTGATCTTGTATTTGCTAAGACATATACAAATAGCTGTCAAAGCTTATCTGATGCATGGTGACTTGGTCATGTGTCTGGGCCTTTGGGTTTTTTTTGTTTTGTTTTGTGGGTTTTTTTTAAGGGGTAGCAGATTCCTTGGGCATGTCAAGGTAAGTATGAGTAAGACTCAACCAGAATAACTAGGTTTGAATTACCCGGTGTCTGACTCCATGCATGTTAGCTGATGCACAGGAGGCAAAGGGGATGTCAACATCAATATCTGAAACTTCCTATCTCTGAGCAAAAGAGCGAAAGTGGGGAGTGCGCTGTGAAAGGAGAGGTCTGTAATGTCGAGGTCTTGTTAGCTGAGGTCAAACTTACTGTTCACTCAGACTGCATTTTGCTGGCATTAGGTTCAGCTCTGAGTGGAAATACAGTGAACATGATCTGAAAACCCAGGCTGAATTTCTGGCTTCCCACAGAACGTTTCAGTGCAGTAGAATCTGTATTCTAGTATGTAATGACTGCATATTGGCTGATGAACTAGGCCTCTTAAAATGCATGCTTGCTTTCTGTCCCACCTTGCAATTGTATAGACTTAAAATTGCATAAGCAGAACATGACATAGGAAAGAAGTCCATTTCTTGTGCATCACAAAAATATGGCACTCGTGTTTCACTTTTGGGGTCCTACGTTGAAGCCTGGTTAGGTCAAAGAGAACTTTTTTGGAGGCAGATGTAACAGGGACTTCTAGCAGGCTAGAAGCAGCACGAGCAGAGGTCTGCTCAAGAGTCAGAATTGGATTTCACTGCAGACTGTTGTGGTGTTTAGTTGCTGCATTTGCATTTATCAATACTGACTGCTGCCGAGCAGTAATGTTTTAAGTGTTGTAACCTTAGCCTATAGGCAGCTTGTGAACTATAGCTTGATATTCAAGCTACCTTTGCATTGGTGGCTGGCACTGACCTTTGCTAGCTCTGAGCATTCATTAGTATCAGTTGAAAGGTTAGGTATCCTGACTTCTGTCTTGCTTCTGCAAGATTTGCTTTCAGGCTTTTTGTTTTGTTTTAGTGATGTGTGGGGGTGGGGTTTGTTTGGTTTTTTTTTTTTTTGGTAATTATACCTTAGGATGGACTTGTTGCTAAAGCATAAACAGATTGAGTTGGGGTTGGCATAGGAAACTGCTTGCCCTCCAGGATTATAATTCTGTCCCTTATCTCTTGCAAGAGTGGCTGAGACAACCACAAAGCTGAGTCATGCCAGCAAACAACAAGAAGCAGAAACAGCAAAAATCAGTGCTACAGCCACAGAACACCACTGGAGCACTTGGTAGTGGTTTTGAAATAGGGGATGGCGATTAAGCATCTTGGTGCGCTTTTCAGGACTGCAAAATGGAGCAGGGTACCTCTTGCATTCCTCTTATAAATAGGTATGGAGGGAGGAACAGTTTGACAAGCTGTTTGGGAATCTGTACCTGGTCTCTTAGACTGTGAACACTACCAGCATTACAGATGTTAAAAGCAGAGTTTTGAAACTGGCCACAAGAAGGAAGAAAGGTAGTATGGTTTCACTGTCCTGCTTGCTATGCATGTGTCCTTTGTACAATAGACCCACATATTAATGAAGACTAGGCTAACTTTTTGTCTTTCCCACTGTTTCCTGTAGGATTAATATACTACTGAAGGCAAAACTAAAGGGATGGGACCTTGTGACGTTGATTTATCAATTTATGTTTGCACAGGGAAATGGAGGGGGGGCTGGACAAGCAACTCTGCACTTTGTTCCTGAAGACAACCTACTAAATCATGTGCTGCTAGCATTACTGGGTTCCTAAGAGTGAGAAACAAATGCTGATGCAAGCTTGGGAAGGATTTGAGCTGTAATAAAGCTTAGAATGTTATAGTTTTCTCGTAATAACCGCTCTTTTCTCGTATTATCCGCTCTTTTCTTAGCTTGCTCTCTCTGCCTTTCCTTAGCAGTGAAGGAGACTGTCTCTGAGAATGAGCTTTATGGGAGACTTTTTATAAACAGAGTTTTCCACATCACTGCAGACAAGATGTTTGAAATCCTTTTCACCAATTCTCACTTCATGCAGAGGTTTCTCAGTTCCAGGAGTATAGTAGGTAATACACTCTTCTCCTTTCTGTCCGTGTTGCAAACTATCCTGAAAATTTCAACCTCTGAGAAATGTTAAATAGGGCTAAGTGGATTTTTGTGTTTCTCCTTGCTTTAAAAGAATTTTGAAGCTTTAAAGTTCCACTATGAGAGAGGATATTTAAAGCTAGCCTTTTGTATCTGTAGATCAGTCATATTTCAGAGTAAAAACCTCATTTTGGTGCACCACAAAACTGCAGCTTAGTGCCTGAATTTCGGGTAGGCTATTAAGTTGATGCATTCTGTGGGGTGTTTCTGATTACATTGTGTCCCAGGAATAGCAAAATGTGTATGGCTGGCACACAGGCAAAACCATTGCATCCTCCTAAATGATACTCACAGGCTTTAATTTTCTGGATGAGTAAATTTTATTCACTGAGATCATAAGAACAGAAAACTAAGTCAAAAAGGGTAATATTTATTCAGTGTCAGCTTGGAAGGCAAAGTGGCAAAAGCTTTTGATAATGTTAAGTGAATCTATTCAACTTTTAGCAGATGGGAAGTGACATTTTCATTTAAATGCTTACTGTTCTCCTCACCCTCAAGTCTCTTTCAGTAGCCTCAGGTTCAGCTACTTAGTACCTCACCTTTGTTCATCAGTGAACTACAATTTTCCCTTTTCCTGCAAAAAACACAACCATTTGGAATCAGTTTTCTGTCTCTCCCCCCACCACTTGTTCTTAAACTGTTAAGATATGAAAGGGCAGAGGTAATGCCTTTTAGGTAATCCTCATGTGAGATTTTCCATAATTTCTCATCTAGATGCTGTATCAACCCCTTGGAACAGAGATTCCAGTGGCAATCAGTTGAGGACTTTGACGTACACTGTAACGATTAACAACCCACTTTGCGGGAAGTTCACAACTGCAACTGAAAAGCAGGTACTGTGTGCGTGTGTATGTCTGTTTGGTGCCCTTTTAAAGCAAGGGAGAGGTCACCTCTACAGTCTGTCAGAGATCTGACCATGGATTAGAGTTCAGTGAGCTGCATGTGGATCTGCAGTTTAAATGTAGCATCTCTAAGGGTAGCCTGCTGCCCCTCTCACCATTAGTGAGCAAATGCTGATGAAATCAGAGGGTTTCTACCCTTACAGATGGCTGTAAACTTCTCCCACAAAGTCTGTGGGGAAAAGTGTTAACATCTTTTATGAACTGGGGGATGAAAAGATGCAATGAAGTGCTGTCAGTGTCCACTTCTGGGCTCCCCAGTACGAGAGAGAGAGATGGAAAGAGTCCAGCAAAAAGCCACTAAGATGATTAAGGGACTGGAGCATCTCACAAGAGAAATGGCTGAGAGCTGGGACTGTTCAATCTGGAGAAAAGAAGGCTCAGAGGGGATCTTACAGTGTATATAAGTATTTGAAGGGAGGGTGCAAAGAACACCGAGCCAGGCCTTCACCACCAAAGTCCACACCTTTCAGTGGTGCCCAGTGACAGGACTAGAGGCAGTGGGCACAAACTGAAACACAGGTGGTTCCCTCTGAACGTCAGGAAACACTGTTAACTGTGAGGATGATGGAGCACTGGAACAGGTTGTCCATAGAGGTTGTGACGTCTCCTTCCTTGGAGATACTGGAAAGCCACCTGGACATGGTCCTGGGCAACCAGCTCTAGATGGCCCTCCTTGAGCAGGGTTCTTGGACAAGACGACCGCCAGAGGTGCCTTCCAATCTCAACCATTCTGTAAGTCTGCTTTGGGAAAGGTCTCATAGGTCAGTCTCAAGGAAGAGCTGTGGTCATGAGTCAGTGGGCAGCCTTGCATCTGGTACTTGAAATGGCAGTGGGGAAGTACTGCTGTTGCCGATGTTGGCTCTAGTGGGAGGCATCTTCTCTTTCCCCACCCCATCTATACTTGCCATTCGTAACTGGTTTTTATTGTGGTTGTTCAGGCTTTCTCCCTACTCTAGTTCATTTGGAGTTGGTTGATCTAGCCTAAGGAATTCAGGCTGAAAGGAAAAAAAATTGAGTACCATGAATATACCTTCTTATTTTCTTTTGCGGTAGATCCTGCATAAGCAGAGCCAGAAAGGTCAGTCTTATCAGGTGGATGCTGAGGTACTAACCCATGATGTCCCCTACCATGATTATTTCTACACTGTGAACAGATACTGCATCAGCCGCACATCCAGTCACAAGTGTCGATTACGGTGAGCCCGAGTGGTGCACAGTGGGAGGGAGAAGCCAAGGCACGTATGTTACAGCTTGATGAATGTGCTTATCAAAAGATCTGCCAACAGCATAGAGAAAGTCAGTTTATCTTGAAGTTAGGGATCTCTTCTGAAAAATAACTTAGTTTATCTTGTCACATGTATGCTGTATATGGATCTCATTAATTCAGTGAGAAATGAATTCATGTTGACTCTATGAGGTACAGAACTCATCTCCAAGGCTGAACTTGGTTCTGACCAGCCTTGAGTTTTCAGGTGCAGTTGTGTAAGTAGGATAAATTGGAGCTACCTGAGATGTTTTATTCCAAAGTTTCCCAGATATCCTTGCTAAGGGCCTGCAGAGGAGGATGGTTTCACAGGAAGGTGCAGGGAAGATGGAACATACCTACCTTGGCAGGGAGGGTACTCAAGGAAATCAGGCTTCATTGTTAAACTTTGCCTAGATAGGGGAGTCTTAAAAGGCACTTCCCTTTCTTCTCTTATTCTTTGAAAATGCCTGAAGTGATCAAGTTCCATGTTCAGCGCGTTTGTGTGACTTTCTGACTATGTAATCCTTGGCAGTTTTTGTGCTGTCTTTAGTAAGACCTTTTAACAGTCAGTTCATCAGTACCCTGGAAAGGTAAGCAAGCCTGGATTTTTATTCTGGCTTATCTCAGGCTATAAAAGTGCTGAAGACTCCCTCTCTACTGGGAGGAGAAGGAAAAGTCAGTCCTTGAACAACTGTTGTGGATGACTTCCCCCCCCAAGTGAGTCATTCTTCCTCTTTGAGGGCTATATTTGTTTTATGTGAGACATATAGCAGCCCTAGGTTTCAATATGGTGCACAGAGCATGCATGTATAGAACAGAAGGTGCATGGTGCTGTTACAGTTGGTTTTATTATACTGTGTTTAAAATGGCTCAGAAACTCTATTTGAAAGATGCTGTTTTGTTAGACTAGAAACACAGTGGGCTTACATTGATTTGGATGATTATTTGAAAATGTTGAAAAAACTGTATTCTAGGACAGTCAGTGTTCTTTACTTAAATCAATATCACAGGCTATCCTTTTGTTCTTTATGAAGAGTTTTGGGATTTATTCAGTTGTTAGAAGCAGCCCTCTGAAGGATTCTACTCCATTTCTATTCTGGAAACATTATTGATTAGCTTGACCTGGGGAATGCAAGGCAGGAATGTCACTTCCCCTCTGTCATGCTCGCAGAAAGACAGATTTTAATTTCCATCTACTCAGGGTAGGATCTGAGCACTTGGTGCGTGAGTGGTGATAAAGAATTTCATCTGCTGCCATTGCAGTGCCCATGTAATACATTGTGTACACATTCAGAGTAAAAAGCAGCACTTTATGATCTGAAAGCTTGAAGCCTATTTTAAATGTATGTTAAAATGAGAACACTTCAGAGGAGAGAAATTCTCTGCTAGTCTGAGTCTGAAGGAAGAAACTTAAAAATGTTTCCCATAATTTGGACATTTGAGTCTCCTGAAGCTTTAGCTAGAGATGTTGGGTTTGCTACTGTCTGTCTCTTGCCTTGCTTCAGCGTAAGTGCTGCCTGGGTGGAAAGCCAAGGCAGTTCTAGTTCATATTTCAGATTATGGACAATAAGCTAGAGGCCTGCTTCTGATAATAAATTTCTGCTACCTAGAGAGCGCTCTTTCACTGTTGCATTCTGTTTATTAGGGTTTCTGCAGAAGTAAAGTATAAAAAACAGCCCTGGGGCCTTGTGAAATCTGTAATCGAGAAGAATACCTGGGGAGGAATACAGGAAAACTTCAAACAACTTGGTGAGGCATTTTCCTCTTCGGTAGAGTAAGGAGGCTACCTTTCCTATGTATGTTTTCATGTCTGTCAAACTTGATTTCTTAAACAATGGTTTGAAAAGAAGGCAACCCCAAAGGAATCCCCAAGTCAGAAGTTCCTGTCATAGATATACCTGCCAATTACAGGGTGCAAAAGAAGTCTGGTAGCTTAATGGTAACAAGGGGCTCTTGTATACCTTGTCAGTAATTGGTTTCTGAAGGAATCATGAGGAGCAGCAGGAAAGCTGTTAATTTCAACTGCATGCACCTATCTTTAAGTATTTCCTTGATTGTGGGTATGAGAAGAGAAGCAGTGGCACTTGGCAGGCTCCCTGGCTATATCTGTTAACAGCCTGGCTGGCCACGCCTGCAGGCTCACAGTCTAACAATTCCTAGTCTCAGTCTAACAGGGTCTTGAAGTGCTCCTCCAACTGCTGTCTAACATATCATTAAACAATCCTGCACAGGGTGTATGTACATCATATCTGAAAAGTGTACTAAGTGCCACCTAGCAAATAGGACAGGTAGTACAGGTCAAGGTGTAGTTTATGTCAATTACCTGCTTTAAGTTCATTTACTAGAAGAGGCACTTACTACTCTCACTGCCACCTTCCATATCTCACAATTTAAGTCTTCAGTGCTAGGTTTTTCAGCTTTCATTTTGAAAGTTCAGTAACCTTATTTTTTCCACTGCAGAATCGGATCTCCTAATGGAGGAATATGCAATTAATCAGTCCATAGAAGACTCTGGAAAATTAGTTGCCCTGAGACGGAGACGACGCACTTTACACCGGAGTCTGGCAGAATCACTTCCCAAACGCTCTTCCCAACACTCCTCCAGTGACATGGGAGTAGAGTCCCAGGGCAGCATAATAGGTAGGAATTATGTCAAGTGTTTTCCAAAAGGTCTCTTCAAGAAAACTTAACTCTTAAACTATTGCAAGAGTAACACTTGCATGTATGCTACTCTTATTGTCTTTATCTAATTAGTGTGATAGCAAATGCTTTAGTGTGTTCAAGCTTGCATAAAACAGATTTGGAGTATGCGTAGTCACTTTATGAGTATCTCATGAAATCAAACCTTAATCTCACCCTCTGTTTTTAAAACAAACAAAAAACAACTAAAGCATAAAATGTTGCACTGTGCCTGCATAGGATTGAAGATGAGATGGGATCAGAAAGAAATTTAACCTGACTTGGTAAAGTCACTGAAAATTTGCTTTATTTCTTCAAATAACCGCACAAGAGAGTTGTGAGTTGATTGTATTTTGCCACTCACCTCTTGGCCCTGTCATCTTGTGTCTGGGTTTGGTTTTATGTTAAGGAGTCCATTTCCTGTCTGCTTCTGTAATTTCTGGGTCACTGAAGCACTTCTTGTAGTTCCACTGCCCCTAGGCACGACAGGCTTGGCCACTAGCATATACAGTATTAGCTACACCTACAGAGATGAGGAACATCCATGCACTAATGTGTACCAGAGAATGGTGGATTTCATGACACAAACTGACTTGTAAACACTGAATTAGGAGCAAGTGCTCTTTCCTAAAGGGGGGAGACAACAATGAGTATAGCATTGAGAGAGCATTTGGATTAACAGCATGTATACTGGACTATACTATATAATGGACCTAACTGAGACTACTTCCTGATTACTTAATTTCGCTACTGCTGTGCTACCTTTTCAGGTGAGTGTGTCTGTCTCGGATACATTGTAGCTTTCATGTATGCTCCTTGTCCAGGGCAGGAAATATGAATGTAAGAAACTGGTTTAGGAAATCAGGGAAGCTATATTTAAAGATCAGTCTGCCTGCAGTGGTAGGTGACTGCTGCTCAGTTTGGAGAGGACATGCACACTTCCTCTCCGTCACTAGTGTCTGGTCCCTGTTGTCTGACTAGCAGATGCTCTTTCAAAAGGCTGTCATCAGGACAATATATAAACCAAGCTGGTAAGGATGGGATAAGTTAAAGGAGAATTTGATTTGACACTGGTTGTCAGAAGGACTAATATGGCCAGGAGAACAAGCGGAAGAGAGCCACTTTGCAGGCTGTCTCTACTAGTGTGTGACTAGCAGCCTATGTGCTGAATGAGTGTTTGTAACGGATGGACTGTAGCCGCCTTGGGCTATCTAGGTTTAATGTGAACATGCCACAGAGCTGTGTTCTCTGCAGCATACTGGGGCATGGGGAATCTTCCTCCTGATGGAAGAGCCTGACTGTCCAGCTGATTTGTCTGAGATGACTGCAGAAATGCCTTGGTGAATGTTGGAGATGATCTTGTGCACCCATATGATCTGTTATTTTTTTCCATCAGAAGCTGTTGAGCTATTCTGTGTGAAATGCTGGGCACTGACATGTATCTGCAGGCATCCTTTAGGAATGTTCTTCAGTACTTTTTAACCTCCTTCTCTTCCATGCCCTATAGGAAGGAAAAGAGATGCTGTAAGTAGGACCACCACCATCATTGTAGTAATGAGTGTCTTGTAAGTACTTGCATTAAAACGTGGCTTGACTTGAGCTCAGCTTGGCCTTTATGTGTATTTGCCTGTACCTCACTTGCGTGTTAACATTGCATGTAGAGTGATAAATCCTAATTTGAATGTATATATAGGAGCACTCAGGTATAGGAGGGGAATGGATTGACTTAGGAAGTGACACATGGAATGAAAATGCTGACTTGCCAAATTAGTCTACCTTGCAGGTTTACATATGTCTGATCCTATAAAAAAAATTCTAGAATTTACTCATTCCTAGTTTTAAAAGTTCCAAGAGGAGACACTGTTGTCATTCCTATAGTTTGCTATTACACAGCTTAAAGCTAACTGCTAAGAATTGTTTGGATAGATATTTATTTTCAGGATAGTGCTGCCCCACACCCTTCTTTCTCCCAGAAGGATTCTCTTTTCTTAGCTGTTTGTAAGCAAGATCTTGTTTCTGTAGCATTGCAGCTGAAATTGTTATAGGACTTGATTTTTGTTCTCTTCTCTCTACAGTTTGCTGCTCTTGGTCTTGCTGAATGTAACACTGTTTTTCAAACTGTCAAAGATAGAGCATGCAGCTCAGTCTCTCTATCATGTCCAGCTTCAGGAAGAAAGCTCTCTGAAGTAAGTTGAATTCACCATCTTTGCTTTCTTTCTTCCTCAGCTTATGTCAGACTCTGAGAAATAGATTTTGAACAATGAAACTTGGTGGTAAGTTTTCAAAAGCTGCTGGGGCTTGCTGTTCTTCTGCGGTCTATGCACATATCCAGTGACATGTCTGACTGCATCTCACAGTAATAAATTTCTCCTTTGACAAGCTGTTTTTTGGGGGAGTGTTAACCTTAGCTTGCATTTATCACCCTGCTGTGACTCATCTTCTGTGAATATCATAGTGCTGATCACAGAACCGAAGTGTTTGCTTCATCCTGTGTGAACCAGCACGATCTCAAATGTAATATTAAAGATTCATTTAGCTGCTTAGCCTCTTTCTGTGAGTCTCCTGCTAAATCCCGTCTTCCCCTCAAACTTCATGTTGGGTGCCTTTGTATTCAGACACACGGAAGAGTCTCAGATGTTGCTTCTTCTCTTTGAATGTGGTATTGGCAAACAAGTTAAAAACCATAACCTGATCTTGAGTATGGAAGCAGTATGGTGACCTCCCATAGTGATCATCTCTGAACTGATTAGAGTAACTTTCTTCATAAGAAAGATCTTGCCCTCTGAAGTGTGAGAACTTACACTGTAGACACAATGCGAGCGCATTTGTTCTTGGTGGCTGTCTACAAAGGTCTGAGGCAGTATCTTCAAGGCAGTAGGGATTGAAATTCAACTGCAGGCAGCTTTTTATGTGGCTTTTGGAAAAGGATGCTTTTAGCAATGGCAGAGCAATGGTAGTAGAGCGTAGTTCCTTTTAAGAAGGTATGGAGGTGCTTGTTTCATGTTTCTGATGTAATCTCAATCTCTTTCAGCATATCCCCAGAAATAGTATCAAAAGAGGAGATCCCTCAATATGATAAGGAACAGGTTAAACATGTGAAGGGAGTTTTAAGAGACTCAATTGAAATGCTTGAGCAGGTAGGTCTGCCAATCTTTCCTGGTGATACTCTTTGTTTCTCAACTCAAGTTTTTTCCCTTCTGCCATCATAGCTTTTGTTTGAATTTTTTTTTTTTTTTGGTGCTAACTAAAGTGTTCATGACTCCTTTACTTGTTTTGTCCTAGGCTTCAATTTGGTACAAAGGCAATGCTCATGTTTCTAATGGGGTGTGGGTTGGTTGGTTGGTTTGTTTTTCCCCTTTGGACTAAGATTAAGTATTCATGTCAATTTTCTTAAACCTGTCAAGTACCTTTATTGATGAGATGCATTGATGCAGTTCTGAATCATGACAAAGCAAACACTGGAGTAATTCAAAACAGATCCTATTTTCTAAGATGACTCAAAATGTAATATTAAGTGTTTGCCCACCTCATTATGAGGTTTCTTCATTCAGGTTTATCCTGGCTTTTGCTCACCACTACTCTTCTAGATATTGTTGAGAGCTTCATTTAGCCTTGGTATTAGTGGGCCACCTAATCTCCAGTGAAAAATAAATAAATTCTACAGACCATATGTTTCTGAGAGGCGCCATAGCTATAGAGTTAATCTTCCTTCTTCCAAGTAATCTACACTTCCAGGTTTTTACGTACTACAAAAACTGTATAAAAAATGAGGCTGTTGAATGCTGTTGTGTCTTTCTGATCCTGAAGTCCAGGACTGGTAAACCCCTAGGCTGAAATTTCAGCTCCGTAAGTGAAGGACAGTATAAGTTTTTACTTATAACCTATGAATGTTCTGATTTTAAGTTATTTTATTAAATGAGAAATGTGACAGAAGAAATTATTAGATGAGGAAAGCTGTGGGGGAGTTCACATGTACCTCTATCCATCACCAGTTTGCTCTGTGTTCTCCCACACACTAAGGAGGGTAGAAAAAGAAGCCATTTTGGATACTCCTTGTTCAGAGGTGTTTCTGCACACAAAATTGCTAGTAATCTATTAACTGTTTTGATCACAGCTTGAAAAAGCTTCTGAGTGCTGGAAATTTCACTGCAGAAATTAATTTCCTGGTTTCCATGCCCTTTTCAGTTTCTCTGCTTGCTGCCCAAAAAATTCCTAATTCTGGAGTGTTAAACTGTCTTTTGAACAAACAGTGTTAAAAAAAAAAGTGAGAATTCAACTACCTTTTTCATCCCAAATAACACTTTTGTCTGGAAGTCATCTTAGTGCCTGTTTACCTTGTGTTTTCTGAGGGTTGTCAATAATCTAAATATGTTTTGTGTACCAAAATGCATCAGGAGGGCCAGGTATTAAAAGAAAATTCATGCTTTGCTGCCATGTTCCTTAGAGTATTTGCTGTGAATATTAACTGTGACTAAAAATGAGTGGGGTGGCTTATCTTCTGCACTATTGTCTGGCGGGGTGGTAAGAATTTATACTGGACTGCTAGTAATTATAAACTGTGCAGCGTATAGCTGTTAGGAGAGCACAGTAAGGCAACTGTTTATAGAAAGAGGGAAGAGGAAATTGCATTAAATCTTTAAAAGGAGGAGGGAGACATTATTTTCCTGATACCACTCACCCTTGCAGTAGACTAACTTAAGTAATTGGGGGGTTTATGACGGTTGTATCTTCACAGCTGAAGATCTCCCTTTCCATGCTCCAAAGAAGCTTTGACCACTTGAACAGGACACAGAGCGGCAAGACTGAGAGTTAATACCCACATCAGCTTTCTGTTCAAGACGTCGGAAGAAAAGATGTGTGTGTGAGGACTGGCGGGGTAGGGATTGCAACCGTCACCTTCGGACTCTTTACTATTTAGCTTAAAAGCTGCACGGAATAAAAGTTGGGTTCTGTGTTCCCGTAACCTGGCAATCTGTCTCTCCTGCCAGCCCTGTACCCTGTGAGTGAGTGAGGGCAGTGGTACTGCTGGTTAACCGATCTGCAAATTTCAGAGGAGGGGAGAACACCCTCAGCAGAGAGCTGGGCTCATCTCTAATGAAATCACAGGGGTTTTTTATGTCAGCCTAAAAAATGACCATCAGTGAAGAGTGTTTTGGAGCAAAAGAACAGGTAGTGGTTTTGCAGCCACAGGATCTCCTTACGCTTTTTTTAGCCATGGGGACCTTGTAAAACAAGTCACCATCTTGAAGGATGAATATTTTTAAGATTAATTAACTAAACAGGAAAATGCTTGATCCCTCTTTGCTGAATCTCTTGCATACTGTGGGCTTTGGCAGACTGCCTTCTGCCATATGTTTCTTAGCTCTCCCAAAGAAATTTCAGCCCTCGGTATTTTCCCTCCATCAAGGGCTGCTCTTCCGTTCTTTATCGTGGTGTGCCTACTGACGACGAAACACCTTTTCTGCTTCTGGCTTCAAGCTTTTTCTAAGCGGCTTGAGAGAAGGAAGATGAAAATAAAAACCAGAGCAAGGGAAAGGGCAGCATCCCTAGGGGCTCGGACCGTGGCTGTAGGGCAGCGCTGGCTGGCGTGGTGCTTGAGCTGTCTGGCAGTGGTGCAAACAGCCGAGCTCCTCTGGCTGCAGCCCAGGGTAGGTTAGGGGGGGTGCGCCTGTGGGTGCTTGGGTCCCAAAAGGCAGGCTCCTGCCTGCCACCCTCCAGGGGCTGGGTTTACACGTGCTCGGTGGCCGTTCTGGGGAACGGGAAAC